ATACCCACTCCGTCACAACCCACCATTACCGGACATTTTCAACCGATCAGTCTTTAACTGACTTTCAATTCGATCTTGAAATATATATATCAAATCTCATTATCATGACGGGCGGACTTCAGCGCTAGATTAGCCACAGACAATGCCGCGGAGAGGATGTTGAAAGTAATTTTAGTAAATTCATTATAGTACATGCCCGACCGATGCATTAATATGTGACATCATCAGCTCAGCATTGTTCTTGTCACGAGTACCATGGTGATAATAAACACAAATACACCCCACAATTCATTTGTCTTCCTTTCTGCACCAAACCGCCGACAGGTGTTGTCGAACTTCTTGAGAATTAGAACTTCGCACGTCCTCAATTGGTAACGCTGAAGTGTCGAATTTACATTCGTTTCGCGCACAGTGTTCCAATTTTCGGGTACCAAAATGTTTGAGTAAGTGTGCTGGAGCCGAGTTTGGCAAGTATAGAATTTTGTCTGAAATCTTGAAGACAACGCGATACAACATCTGCCAGCCGAAAGTTCGCGGAACGTGAGGCGTGAAATGACTTTCTCAAAGAAAAAAATGATAACTAATTTTTTTAACTTTCTGGAATGTCGAGAGATGTGTGAAATATATGGCAAGGAACGGTAAACGTCTGAATATTTAAACAGAGTAATTGTTCTGTTTTAACGTGAAATTTGGTTTCATGATTTTTCGATTGATTTTACGGCTTACCAAAATATGTGTGAGTTACTTAAAGCCGAAATATATTTTGGATTATACAAATATTTTAAAGAATGGATATTGCATTAACAAGCTTTTTTGTTGTTCTTAAGAATAACGATGAATTTTCCAGACATATTTTCGACTGTGTGACGCATATCTGGGGAAAGAGATAGATTCAGCGCGTGAGGGAATATAACAAACCCGATTATACATTACGCCACCCGAACATCCACATGAAATTTTGGGTAGCAACTTGTAGATGCTTCAGGGAACTCCTTAAAATGTAACGATGGAAGCAAGATAGTTATTTTTTTTAATTTAAAATTTTTTTCATATGCAAGTTTCACGAAATACTGAGAAGGCGTTGTTGATTAATATTTGTTAATGAAACATGCATAAACGAAGGGTTGCTGCCTAATATACAACTATATATATATATATATATATATATATATTGCTGCCTAAATATACAACTATATATATATATATATATATATATATATATATATATATATATATATATAGTTGTATATTTAGGCAGCAATCCTTCGTTTATGCATGTTTCATTAGCAAACACTAATCAACAACGGCTTCCCTAACCACCTTATAGACCAACAAATTAGACTATTTCTCCCCAAAGTAAATAATAACGATAGTGAAAACTCAGTCAAAAATTACATAAACATTTATTACAAAAAACATTAACTACTTAATGCACATTAACTACAAACAAGACAAATCTTCACTTAGACATATTATAAAGAAATACAATCCCAATTGACCCGAATAAAAAAATCAAATGAATTATCTATTATAAAAAATTTAAGACAGCTAACCTTATCCTAAAAATTAACAACACACCAGTTAAGTCAAAATTACAAAGAACGAACATTATCTATGAGTTCAAATGCCCCTTAAGGAACTGTGTTCCTGATCAAACCGGACTCATAAATAATTACATCGGTTACACAACTACATGCTTATCCAGACATCTTACGTTACACCTATCTGATCATAGCTCCATTAGAACCCATTTAAACACACACACAAACTTACCAGACTCCATTCGAAACATACTAGTAGAAAATACAAATATAATAACTTCATCCACCCGTAAAAAAGATTAAAAATAATGAAAGCTTTAATAATAAAAAAGAAAAATCCAACTCTTAACAATATTAACTATGAACAAGGCTAATGTGCTCACCGTATTCGGAAATTAAAAACATTTCTTTAACACACTGAAACATACACATAATGCACACACTCAATTAAACTGTAAAATTGAATCATCCTTGATAATGGCTAAAGGTATAGCCGAAAGTGCTCGGAACTATAAAACATTTAGACAGTTTTTACACCACACTCTTTGTCCAGAAAAGAAACACAAGAACACAAAAAAAATTAAATAAAATGCTTAACTGTAGTACCTTGTCTGTCCTTTTTAATGAAATATATATATATATATATATATATATATATATATATATATATATATATAGAGAGAGAGAGAGAGAGAGATTGAGAGAGAGATTGCGATGGGTAAATTGTCGTCTAAATAACGCAAAAATGGAAATAACACTAACATCTTTTTTGTGATGTCACCGAACACTCGTTTGACACTTTTGTGATGTCAACGAAAAATCGTTGTCACTTTCGTAATGCTAGTTGTAGTAGAGACTTTGTAATCGCAGATACAACAATAGTACGTCGTTGGACAATACTGGCGTCAGACGCCTTCGAACATCACTCGTACTAATAGTACTTACTCGATAATGCTCGACTAGTAATCCGTATAGTGATATGAATAAAGAAATAGTATAGTGAATAGAGTAGAAAAATAGCGGTCTGTATAGTAATAGAGGATAGAATTGAAATACGATCAATTAGACGTCACGCGACTTCCTCCTTATACCTTTCCTCTATGGTCTCGTGATCCACAATTCATTAATGGGATCACCCGTGTTTGCTCACTGGCGATCTATGTTCAAACTCAAGTGTCGGCAGCGACACTTTATTCCTATATAACAATCTTATTTCAGCAGATATATTTACTAAAATTTCACAAAAATATCTTGAAACACTAAAGAGTAAATTTATTCAGGGAAATGGACATTGATTTCAAACATACATTTTTACTCAAAACTCAAAAAAAAAATACAGCTGAAATGTCTAGGATGTATAATAAGAATGAGGGCTTGGAGAATTTGATACTCACAGGACATATAAAGGGCAAAATGGACAGAGGTAGGTAGCGAGATACCGACCTAATAAGTTCCTGTAAATTGATAGCAGAACAGGGAGTGATAGGGATGGTAAGAAGACGAACGTTACTTACAGCTACAAAAGATAAGATGTTGTGAAGGGCCACAATCGCCTATGACCTGAATGGATACACTATATAGAAGAAGTAGACCCTTACCTCGAAGGTAGCCATTCACACGTACTACAAATACAAAGCCAACGCAAAAGTAAATTTTAGTTTTGATTTCGACTAGGAAAAGGTGGGAATGACTACGTATTTAGGATATGAAATTTTAAGCCAGATATTCTCGGATGCTTAAATAAACGCGCTTCGCTCTTTAATTTATGGATTTTTTACATCTAGCAAGAGTTTATTAGGAACACACTTACCGTTTATCCATTTTTGACTTTTTTGATGGACGTCTATTTACAAGATGTGGCATAAAGGGTTACTGCACAAGTTCTTTAGCTGGAAGTGTCTTCTCAATGATCAAGTCCTTCCTAACTGTAGTTCCTAACGACCAGTTCTTTCTGAAGGTAGTTCTTAGAGGCCCCACCTCCGAGGCCCAGACGATCAGCGAAAACGTCCCCTAAAGCTTGCTTCACGGCCCAAGCCCGTTTCTCTTTTACATAAATAATCAGCCTAAGAGTATATACTCCGATCATTTGTGAATAGCTATACTGATGATGGAATATTGCTGTCATATATGAGCTGTAGCCCCTGCTGTTCGTCTTAGGATCCTCGACAAAATCCAGAGACGGATATGCAATGTGGTTGGCCCTGATCTAGCATCTCATTTACAGTCGCTCTCTCACAGACGTGCCGTCGCCCCCCCCCACTGTCTTTTCTACAAATACTTTCACGGTAACTGCTCTGACTAGCTATTTTCGCTAGTTCTCAAACTGCGTGAATTTAAACGTGCCACTAGGTCGGCATCTCAGTCCCACCCTTTCACTATCGAAGCGGTTAAATGTAGCCGTCTCTTCTACTCCAATAGCTTCATGTCTCGTACTTCCCGTCTGTGAAACTCTCTTCCTCTTACTTGCTCCGCTGATAGCTATAATCTCCAACTATCCAATGCAATGTCAATCGACATCTCTAGATGCCTTGATCTTTTCCCTGTCCTTCTCTTCATCCTTTCCTGTATCACGCCTCTTTACCCGTAATCCCAATTTCTGTAACCCCTTGCGTTCTAGCGGCACTCATGCCTTGCTTGGGGTGAAAAATTAAAAAAAAGAGAAATGATACAACGGTATATGTACAACCTCCAAATCTAGAGACGACAAGACGCCAACAGCTGTTCTCTCCTCTGATCTAGCTTTAACAGCACAATTAAGGGAAAAATTGGCCGATCACAGTCAATGCTTCGAAAATAAAAAAATACAGTGACATTATATCACCAGCTCTGAATTTTCACCTGCCACGAAGAACGGTGTTCTCTTAGTGAGATGCTGGAAACATGGTCACTTCCCTGTAACCCGCCAGTAAGTACCTGACCACTACTGCTATCCCGTACCAGATCAGACCTAAAATAGAGTACTGCTGTCATATACGGACAGGAGCTGCACAGTCTTCACTTTTCAGTTCAAAAGTATCTCCACGTTCTTGTGGGTGATTAATTATTTTCCACCCTACAACCGTTTTTCCTGCTACTATATCACTATTTTAATGGAAAGTGATCAGACTACGGTTATCAACGATGAGGTAGTTGATCAAATCACGAGAAAGAACTTCCTAAACGACAAGCAATATGGATTGCGTTTCTCTGGGTCCATTACTTATGTTTGAAGTCATCATTAATCAGTAAAGCTCTCGATGGTAGCTTCGTCACCAAAGCGATTGCTTTGATACCTCAAACGTTTTTGACAAGGTGTGGCATAAACCCTGCAACAATGGCATTTCTGAAAGTCTTTTCTCTCGGGTAGGTCCATGAATGTCGTTGATAATAGCTAGTACTCTAATTGGATTGATTTATTGATATCATTGCTTATCAACCCATTGTGGGTTGTTTAAAACCGAAAAATATTTCGGATTAGTGTTGCTAAGCGATCTCCCATCGAAGTAGTGACTCGGCTTGACATTGCTTAACTTCGGTGATCGAATGAGGACCAGTGTTTTCAGCGTGATTTGACCGTAAGCGACCAGACCTCTGAGCCTCTTGAGATCAATGCAGGCGTCTCCTAAGAATATTTCTTCGATACTACACTATTTCTGCTTTTTATTAACGATCTGCCCAAGAGTATTCTCAGATCATTAGTACATGCTTATGTAGATATAATCACATTTTATGGAAGCCTCTCTAAGCATCGTGATATACGTAGCCTTGTAGCTGAACCATGCTCGTACCTAGCTGTAACAGTTCAATGTGAGGTGAAGTGTGGCTTGCAACTTTCAATACAGCCGAAACAAAGCTTATATTATTTCATCACGAACAGAACCTGATTATTTTCAAGTCCAAACGTGGCTCTACGATTTGAAAGTTTATTGGGACTCAAGTTCACTCCCGATTTGAAGTTGAACTCGTATACAAGATCTGTTGTTAAAAATGTTGGCTCAATCTGTCGCTCTAGAAATCATATGCTTCTGTGCCACTTTACCTTCACAAGGTTTAGATTAAGCCCCCCAAAATGGAATATTCATCTCATATCTGGACAGAAGCTTCTCATTTCTCACTTTCTAGCCTAAATAGAAGTCAAAATCATATAAGCGTTCTTGCAATATCATTAAAAGTTCAAAGTATAGTGCTCTGTTCCACTGCCAGTCATGTTACTATCCATGTTAGTGGTACAATACCATGAGAGGGAGAAAATGGTGCTTCATCTCACTTCCACTCATCTTGATCAGTACTCATGTTAATGTTTCAATACCATAACAGAGAAAAGTATTGCTCTGTCCTATCGCCAGTCATCTTGATCACTATTCATGTTAATGACATAAGACGATGACATAAAGATAATGGCGTTCCGTACCACCACCAGGCATCTTGATAAGTATTCCGGTTAATGGTGATTATGGGATAAATATAGTGCTACATAATCTTCATTTTATTGACCTCAATCATGTTAATGGCACAACACCGTGATAGGAAGACAATGCAATAATGTTCCATCCCACTGCCAGTCATCTTGATCAGTATTCATGTTAATGTTGAAATACCATGATTGGGAAAGGCAGTGCTACGCTCAACCGCCATGGCGTGTAGATGAGCAATCCACGCGCCCATAATCAATGCTGAAGGCTCTGACTGCAACAGGCCGTATTCTTGTTGCTGGCGGTAAACGAACATCGTTATTATTATCAGGATTTATACATAGGATCAAATGTTCTTCTTTGGTCTCGCTCACTGAACATGGATGAATTAACGAAACTATTGCGAAGAAACCACATTCTTCATTTTATTGGCCAAATAACTGATCATGAGCCTTACCATTCCGGCATTGAACTACACTTCCGGAAATCACCAGTCCAACAACTATCACTGAATCACCGATGATTTTACCCCTCACCCTACGGCTTATTTCCTTCGGGCAAAAAGCCAAGAGCATCGCATCTCTTAAAAAACGCATTACTCTTAAGAGCACGGCTTTTTAATTCCCTCTTTGTATTGTCCTATATACTAACACCGTTTTATTAATGTATTATTCAAACACTGTCTATGTGTAAACTATGGAGATGGGTGGCGTTGTGCTTACTGAAGCGTACCGTTTATTATATGATCCTCATTTTTCAAGTCTCCTTTCGCAGCTGATGTAAGTAAGATCAATGCCCTCTTTATTCATGTTTATCGTAGTTTGAAGTTTATGTTCTCACAGTTCAGTAAACACACTGCGTAATAGCCAGAAGATTAACAAACTGATTTACAGTTTATTCGATTCACATAGAGAGAGATTTTCTCTTATCAGCATTTGAGCGGCCCACACGATGGCAGTCAGCCATCGTCGTCATATACCACTAATACAGTAATGATGTATTTTTGTTGAACTCCGCAGTAATTTGCGCGGGAAAGATTATACCTTACTTAAAAAAAAAGAAAGAAAATTTCGAACTAAAAATTTGAAGGTTTTTGAAAGGCGTTCTTGTTAACTGCGTAAACGTAATGTCACAGGTAGGATTTATTAAGAGGATGCGTCGACATTTTTGTTCGCTCTTATATACAGTGACAAAATCTAGTGCTATATGAAAAATAATTGGTAAGGTTGTATTTTTTAAAACAGTTTCCGAACCCGGTAAACGTTGGTAGTATTTCGTCTTTGTTTTTCTTTTTTAGCGTGAAACATAAATTTTCCGACATAGAAAATTTAATCTTGTTTTTTTAAATATTTTTATTTCATTTTTTATGTACTCTTTCTAAATTTTTTCATTATTCACCGTAAATAAAAAGAAGGCAATTTAATAAAATGAGAATATATAGATAGTACAGTGATTGCTAAATTAAATATTACGTTCAGGTTCTTACAACATTTAACTTTTTGGGGTCCGATCTTCATTGTGGGATATTTAAAACAACAACGAGAAAATCAAAAACAAAGGCGTAGAGA